TGGACTCTGCCGGGAACTCCATGTCCCGTTTTTTCCTCCTGCCTCTTTGGAGGACCCTGGGATGGGACAAATGGGACAGTTCGGTCCCCTACAACTGGGACACTCCTTGGTTTTACTTGGACACTTTCAAGTTCATCAGGGAGCATGGACTGCATGGAGTTAAGCCGGACTTGTGGAAGCCAAAGACTATTTACAAGCTCATCAGAGCTGAGGACACCGTTGAGACTGTTCCGGACCTCCCTCTGGACACTTGCAAATTTGTCTGGAGGAGTGTTTCTTCCAAGAGACTCGCCAACAGGCACAAAGATCTGGCGTGGATGGCGATCCGGGGAGGGGATTGCCCTTCGGGACTTTCATGCACGCCAGAAACCTGTGCAGACACAGGCATTGCCCCTTCTGCATCACCGAGGAGGAGGCCGCTCCGCATCTCTTCTGGCATTGCCCTGTTGAGGGCTCCGGAACACGAACTCAAAGACTTTGTGCCGCTGACGGCGATTACTCACTTCGGAGTGACGTGTGGACTGTTTTGTGGCCCTTTTTACGGAAGGAGAAATCGGAGGCGCCTGGCGGGCGATGTGTTGCTTCAAGGACGCTACTCTCCTTACCCCTCTTCCCTCTCCCCCATCACACCTGTTGCTTCGTTGTCGGTTAATGTTTTATGCTTGATGTGTTGTCGCGGTGCCCTGTAGGACGTGAGGAACCACAAGGTATGGCCGGAGGGTTGGGAGGTCGGCAGAGCCCGTGGTGTTGTGCCCCCTGGGGGGTAGGCGTCCCAGGGGTGCTCAGGAAGTCACTTGGGTCCGGGACCCCACATTGAGTCAGTGCGCACATGGACACGGATCGGGGTCCGCCCTGCCTTTGGGTAGGTGGACCATAGTATGGCAGTGTGAGATATGAAGCGCCCCCTGGAGGTGTGGAGCCATATCCTTCTCTTCTGTGGCCTCTACGGGTTTACTTTACCTCCCTCATCTTAGGGGGGAGATCTCTACGGGAGGACCTCCTACTTAGTACTTCCAAGTCCGTGAGGGTTGGCTGCTCTGAAGATGCAATGATATGTCAATCAGATAAGTCAAGCGGCACCCAAGAAGAAGAAGAATTTGACTGGAAACCCCTCCCCCCAGCCACGTGCAGCCATAATGCAGGTCAAGTGTAAATATAGTCTCCATGAGTCCAAATAACGCCGGTTTCGGCCTGATCCCTATTCCCGGGTTTATCTTTGTCCCCCCACTTGTTCTCATGGGACCTACTTTGGTAAGTCCATGTGGTTCAGTGTCTGCTGTCCTTTGGATAGGCGGGCCCCACCCAAAACCACTGTTTTTACTATAGGAGAATCCCGATTAAGAATGTTGGGGAGCAGGAGAATGAGTTGGTGGGACCCACCGAACTTCCCCCCCTCCCCCCAACCTGCCACCCTAGCTACGTGGTTTTGGGGTTCACTTAAGGAGAAACTTTTAATATTTGCATATTATTATAATTTATGGTGTAGTGCTCACCCCCGAAGGAGCCGCTGAGGATGAAATAGGTTCTCCTACCTGTTGGTTCCAGCTACCGGTCCCCTTTGATCAGCAACAGCACACCGACACTCATGGACAGAATGGCCTCGAGTCTCAGGGTCTTTATTTGTAAGCTCAACAGGAGAGAGAGGGTTTAGGGTCTGTAGGATGCCCTTGGAATTGCTTCAGAGGACAGCTTTCTCCCCTAGCAACCGCTAAGGCCGATAGCAACCGCCAAGGGCCAATAGTAGTAGCAATACTGCGGAGAGCCAGGATGATCCAGTAGCTCATATGGAGAAGGTTAGCTATGTCTGGACTCAGGTGAGGACCCCTGGCTTCTTCTCAGATACCTGGAATAGGGTGAGGGATCTCCCTTGTGAGTCCCAGACAGATGCTCGCACCAGCTCCTCTGCGGTACCCCTCAGCAAGCGGACTCCTCCCCGACCCAGCTTCCATCAGGTATTTTCCTTAGCAACAGGATCTGGAATCTCTGTGCCCTCAGCATCTGCAACTGCCAAGGAGCACTCCAGGTTAGTGGTAGTATCTTCTCAGAACAAGGCACCCAACACCTGCCACGTGTATGGGCCCAGCGAAGTATCAGTGTATCCTAGACCTCGAGGCCCCTCAGCACCTGCCACGTGTATGGGCCCAGCGAAGTATCAGTGTATCCTAGACCTCGAGGCCCCTCAGCACCAGCCATGTGTATGGGCCCAGCGAAGTATCAGTGTATCCTAGACCTCGAGGCCCCTCAGCACCTGCCACGTGTATGGGCCCAGCGAAGTATCACTGTATCCGAGACCTCGAGGCCCCTCAGCACCTGCCACGTGTATGGGCCCAGCGAAGTATCAGTGTATCCTAGACCTCGAGGCCCCTTAGCACCAGCCATGTGTATGGGCCCAGCGAAGTATCAGTGTATCCTAGACCTCGAGGCCCCTCAGCACCTGCCACGTGTATGGGCCCAGCGAAGTATCAGTGTATCCGAGACCTCGAGGCCCCTCAGCACCTGCCACGTGTATGGGCCCAGCGAAGTATCAGTGTATCCTAGACCTCGAGGCCCCTTAGCACCAGCCATGTGTATGGGCCCAGCGAAGTATCAGTGTATCCTAGACCTCGAGGCCCCTCAGCACCTGCCACGTGTATGGGCCCAGCGAAGTATCAGTGTACCATTTGCTTGCATCACACAGACCTCCTAGGGGGAAGAAGAGACCTCTGCACAGTGTCCCCAGACCTTTTATTACCTGCCCTCAACCATGCCTCTGAGTCATCCTCCTCAGGGATTGGCTAGGGTCAGGTGCATAGTCATAACCTGAGGGTGGATCCTCCCTCACTGTATGCCAAGGCTCCCTTCTCCTCAGCAACAGGAGGAGCAATCAATCCAGCAGACTCAGGGACACCTATAGAGTGCAGAGCTCTGTATGATCAGTATCTGGGGCAACATTTTAGAGGGCGCTACACTGGTTTCACACGAGAAGTCTCGTCTCCCTACAGACAGGAAGTGATGTCACCTATAAACAGGAAGTTCCGGGTGAGAGGTGAGTCGGGAGGAAGTAGAGAGGAGACATTGCTGGAACTGGCAGCAGAGGAGGTAATGAGATTGTATTGTATAGTTACACCCAGTAACCCCTCCCCCCGTCATGTCCGTCCTCGTCCTCCATAGTCACTGTGACCTCATTTATCTCCGGCAGATTCTGAAACACACATATATAGTGTTTTCTATAGTTGTCCCCGCCCTCTGTATTCCGGGGATCCCACCCAGGAAGATCTCACCATCCCCCACCATGATCAGGTAGGTGATGAACAATTATTGGACATTATAATTTATATACAAGCGTGTTTGTTCCAATAAATATTTTAATATATTCAGAATGGAGACCTCAAAGATTATAATATCGATGTTAAAGAAGAGTATAAGGAGGAGTACGGGGTGATGGAGGAGCTTTCTGAAGGACACAAGGATATGATGGAACCACCTTGTGACAGGAACCCACCAGAGAGATGTCCCCGTCCTCTGTATTCCCGGGATCCCACCCAGGAAGATCTCACCATCCCCCACCATGATCAGGTCGGTGGGGCGGAGCTTCTAGAACATGAAGGGACTCATGGAAATGATGAGTGGATCCTACAAGATGATATTTACTTCCATTCTGTTGGTTTAGGGTGAAGATCTGATGAAGATGAAAGTTGAGGGTGAAGTAGAAGAGACGTATGTGAGGGATGATCAGCGATATACGGAGGAGGCCGGGATGATGAGGACAGCCAGAGAGGAGGACACGCCTACAGAGACCAGCACAGGTGGGTCATATTATATTCTTCTGTTATCCTGGAGAGGGACTGCCAGTCTATACTCTGAGCCTCTTGTTTCTTCGAGTTCACATGACCCAGTGTGTCAATGTAGAAGTGATCTGGGAGGAGGAGCAAAGGCCCTTTGACTGAAGAGGGGAGGAGTCCCGGCTGGTTGGGACCTCCTCATAGAACATCTGCTCCCTCAGACCTCCTGATCCAGATGGAATGTTGAGTGAAGAGGGGAGGAGTCCCGGCTGGTTGGGACCTCCTCATAGAACATCTGCTCCCTCAGACCTCCTGATCCAGATGGAATGTTGAGTGAAGAGGGGAGGAGTCCCGGCTGGTTGGGACCTCCTCATAGAACATCTGCTCCCTCAGACCTCCTGATCCAGATGGAATGTTGAGTGAAGTCATCTAACCCTCTCATATCTCTCCATCATGTGTCTCTATGTTTCCAGGACACGCCATGGAGGAACCCTCAAAGGATCGTCTGACTTTATCTCCAGGTTGTAAGATGGAAGATGAGGACATCACAGCAGATTGTGCGGGAGAAGAGACAATGAGCTCAGCTATGGATGGTGGACGTCACAGTGTGGGTAGACCATGGAATCCCTCTGACTCTGAGCGACCTCGTCCTGTGGGGGATGGTGCCGGAATTCAGGGGGAGGAGATGTTTTCCTGTCCTAAGTGTGGGAAATGTTTTATCTCTGAACTAAGTCTTTTTATACATCAGAATTCTCACATGGGTGAGGATCTACATTCATGTCCTGAGTGTGGGAAATGTTTTTCTGATAACGGCAAGCTTTCAAGACATCAGAGATTGCACTCGGGTGAGAAGCCACATGCCTGTTCCGAGTGTGGAAAATATTTTTCACGGAAATCAGACCTTGTTATACATCAAAGATCTCACACAGGGGAGAAGCCATATTCCTGCCCTGAGTGTGGGAAATATTTTTCACAGGTGTCCCATCTTTACGCGCATCAGATGTCTCACACGGGGGAGAAGCCACATGCCTGTTCCGAGTGCGGAAAATGTTTTTCACGAAAATCAGACCTTGTTAAACATCAAAGATCTCACACAGGCGAGAAGCCATATTCCTGCCTTGAGTGCGGGAAATATTTTTCACAGGTGTCCCATCTTTACGTGCATCATAGGTCTCACACAGGGGAGAAGCCGTTTTCCTGCCCTGAGTGTGGAAAATGTTTTACAAAGAAGTCCAGTCTTACTGTACATCAGTTAAGCCACACAGGCGAAAAGCTGTTTTCCTGCACTGTGTGTGGGAAATGTTTTCCCCAAAAAACAAAACTTGTCACTCATCTAAGATGTCACACAGGCGAGAAGACGTATTCCTGTCCTACGTGTGGGAAAAGTTTTTCACAGAAGTCCGATCTTAACAAACATCAGAAAACTCACGCAATCCTTGATGTGTATTAGTGTCCTGGGGGGCGGGATCAGACTACACGACAGGACTGACCATGTCACTGCAGTAGTGATCAGTCTGCACAGACTCGGAGGGCCCCCTGCTGGAGGA